TGCATCCATCTCTTGCCAAAATACGATGCTTTCGGAGATATGCGGCCATGCGCGCACCGCTGTGTAGGCGTGCAGTTGTCTTCGCACATACCGAACCCTCCCGCCGCGTCTGACTATAAACTCGTAACTATAGCTGGCTACAGGAAAGTAGGAGGAGCGACCGACAGAGGAAAGGCGCAGGGAAGATAGCTGTGTGGCCGGTTACCAAGAAAGAAGGTTAGACTGCCAAGCGAAGAGAACATAAGAGGCAAGGGAACTGACGCCTTGAGGGCATAAGAGTAGACCGTTTTGTTACACCTACATGCTAGAGACTCTCCTTATTATAGACACAGGCGTTTACCTTGCATTAAAAGTTACTTAGCGGAAATCTACTGCTGAGATTACCCCCTATCTATTTAAAACTTGCATATTCATCACAAGATATAACTTCTACTGTGTGAAATAACGCAGTGCGCTATTCTCAAACATTACGTAGCCAGATTGGTGTTTGAGAATGGCTGCCCGTATACGCATCCCGAGACATTTACGATGCAAGGCCTCTTCCTCCTATTTCGTTTAAAAAAGTGTCTAGCTGATGGAATGTGATCACACACAAATCTATGCAGCATCAACTCCTCTCATGTTTACAATACATAATCCTTGCATAAATACGTCATTGTCTCGGGAAACAATTGCGTATTGCGCGCGCACCGTGGTAGGCCGTGCAAGTGGCCATTCTGACCGGAAAACGTCTATAATATGGCGCGCTGCGTGCGGCTGCGTTGAGGGGATAGGCTCAGACTGAGGAAGGCGGTGGAAGATAGCTGCCATCTGGCGGAGAGAAGAACGCGCAGGCGGTGCGAGGGTCAGAGGGGGGCTAAAGGGACTTTCGAATGACGGCGAGGGCCATATAAGTAGCGTTGTTTTATGGACACTCACATGCTACCGGCGCTCTCCTTAGTCATAAACACAGGTCTTATTGATTAAAGTTTATAGGGGAAAATCTATGCTCGATGATAAACCCCTAATCCATTTAAATGCCATATGTCATCACTAAGATATAACTCCTTGGTGCAGATATTTAGAGCTAACCACACTAAACCGTAGCAGATTGTGCTGTACTGGCTGGTATACGCCCCAGCCCGGACCCTACCATGCCAGGTCATCACTTCCTCTATTTTCTTAAATCAAGGTCTACTGGATGCGAATGTTAATATAGGATCGGATGCTAGAGATCAAGCTCCTCGTTTAATTTTCTATCTGCAGTCATCTTTGCCAAAATCGATTGCTCTTCGGGAGATATTGCCGCATGCCGCGCATTCGTGTTAGGCGTTTGCAGTGTGCGTCCTGAGGCCCAAACACCTCTTACATCATAGACCCTGGGGTGAGACAGAGGAGGAGATGGAGAACCCTGTCAGGAAATGTCCGGCAGGCGAAGATAGCTGGACGGCCNTTATCACACAAATCTATGCTAGCATAACTCCTCTTCATTTTAAATACATAATCTTTGCAAAATACGATTGCTTTCGGGAAACATTGCGCATGCGCGCGCACCGTGTTAGGCGTGCAGTGCCATCCGAGGAAAACTTTATAATATGGCTTGTTGCGGGGTAGAGGGGATGGGAGACTGAGGAAAGGCGGTAGAGAAGATAGCTGTGGCGGTAGAAGAAAAGGGAGGCTGAGCGAGGGTCAGGGGAGGCAAGGGGAAGAACGCGAGAGCATAAAGTAGGTGTTTTGTACCCTACATACTAGGGCGTTCTTCTAATTATCAACACAGGTCTACTGATAAAAGTTTATTAGGGAAATCTATGCTGAGATACCCCCTAATCATTTTAAATGCATATTCATCACAAAATATAACTCCTCTGGTGAGATATTGCGCATGCGCTATTACACACTAACGTAGCCAAAAAATGTACTGGCTGGTATACGCAGCCGGGACCTTACATGCAAGGTCTTCCTCTAATTTCCTAAATGATGTCTACTGATGGAATGTTATCATATAAATATATGCTAGGATAACTCCTCTTCATTTTAAACTCATAATCTTTGCAAAATACGGATTCTCTCGAGAGATATTGCGCATGCGCGCGCATCGTGTTAGGTGTGCAGTGCCGTCTGAGGCAAACTTCTTAATATAGCTGGCTGGGGAAGAGAGGGAATGAGAGACAGAGGAAAGGTGGCAGGGAAGATAGCTGGGGGCGGTAAAAAAAGAAGGAGACTGAGCGAGGAACAGAGGAGGCAAGGGTAATAACGCCAGGGCATAAAGTAGGTGTTTTGTACCGTACATGATAGGGCGCTCTCCTTATTATAAACACTGGTCTATTGATAAAAGTTTATTAGGGAAATCTATGCTGAGATACCCCCTATCCATTTTAAATGCATATTCATCACAACATATAACTTCTCTGGTGAGATATTGCGCATGCGCTATTTCACACTAACGTAGCCAGATTGTGTAATGGCTGGTATACGCATCCGAGACATTACATGCAAGGTCTTCCTCCTATTTCTTAAAAAGTGTCTACTGATGGAATGTTATCCCAGAAAATCTATGCTAGCATAACTCCTCTTTATTTTATTGCATCATTTTTGCAAAATACGATTGCTCTCGGGAAACATTGCGCATGCGCGCGCACCGTGTTAGGCGTGCAGTGCCATCCGAGGAAAACTTCTTAATATAGCTGGCTGAGGAAGAAAGGGGATGCGAGACAGAGGAAATGCGGCAGGGAAGATAGCTTGGGCGGTAGAAGAAGAAGGAGACTGAGCGAAGGAGAGAGGAGGCAAAGGGAATGACGCGAGGGCACAAAGTAGGTGTTTTGTACCCTACATGCTAGGGCGCTCTCCTTATTATAAACACAGGTCTATTGATATAAGTTTATTAGGGAAATATATGCTGAGATACCCTCTATCCATTTTAAATGCATATTCATCACAAGATATAACTTCTCTGGTGAGATATTGCGCATGCGCTAACACACTAACGTAGCCAGATTGTGTACTGGCTGGTATACGCAGCCGAGACATTACATGCAAGGTCTTCCTCCTATTTCTTAAAAAGTGTCTACTGATGGAATGTTATCCCAGAAAATCTATGCTAGCATAACTCGATCTTTATTTTATTGCATCATCTTTGCAAAATACGATTGCTCTCGGGAAA